GCGCGGAGTCGAGGCTGCGAGGGCGCGCTCCGGGAGGATGGACGGGTCTGGGGAGTGCAGCCTCCCGGAGCAGGGCAGCCCCGGCTCTGCGGCCGGCGACGACATTGAGATAGTCGTCAACGTGGGGGGAGTGCGGCAGGTGCTGTACGGAGACCTTCTCAGCCAGTACCCGGAGACTCGGCTAGCAGAGCTCATCAACTGCTTGGCTGGGGGCTATGACACCATCTTCTCCCTGTGCGACGACTACGACCCGGGCAAGCGCGAGTTCTACTTTGACAGGGACCCGGACGCGTTCAAGTGTGTCATCGAGGTGTACTATTTCGGAGAGGTCCACATGAAGAAGGGCATCTGTCCCATCTGCTTCAAGAACGAGATGGACTTCTGGAAGGTGGACCTCAAGTTCTTGGACGACTGCTGCAAGAGCCACCTGAGCGAAAAGCGAGAGGAGCTGGAGGAGATAGCTCGCCGTGTGCAGCTCATCCTGGACGACCTGGGTGTGGACGCGGCCGAGGGCCGCTGGCGCCGCTGCCAGAAATGCGTCTGGAAGTTCCTGGAGAAGCCGGAGTCCTCGTGCCCGGCGCGGGTGGTGGCCGTGCTCTCCTTCCTGCTCATCCTCATCTCGTCGGTGGTCATGTGCATGGGCACCATCCCCGAGCTGCAGGTGTTGGACGCTGAGGGCAACCGCGTGGAGCACCCGACGCTGGAGAACGTGGAGACGGCGTGCATCGGCTGGTTCACGCTGGAGTACCTGCTGCGCCTCTTCTCTTCGCCCAACAAGCTGCACTTCGCCCTGTCCTTCATGAACATCGTGGACGTGCTGGCCATCCTCCCCTTCTACGTGAGCCTGACGCTCACGCACCTGGGCGCCCGCATGATGGAGCTGACCAACGTGCAGCAGGCGGTGCAGGCGCTGCGCATCATGCGCATAGCCCGCATCTTCAAGCTGGCGCGCCACTCTTCGGGCCTGCAGACCCTCACCTACGCTCTCAAGCGCAGCTTCAAGGAGCTGGGGCTGCTGCTCATGTACCTGGCGGTGGGCATCTTCGTCTTCTCCGCCCTGGGCTACACCATGGAGCAGAGCCACCCTGAGACGCTGTTTAAGAGCATCCCCCAGTCCTTCTGGTGGGCCATCATCACCATGACCACCGTGGGGTACGGGGACATCTACCCCAAGACCACGCTGGGCAAACTCAACGCAGCCATCAGCTTCCTGTGTGGTGTCATTGCCATTGCCCTGCCCATCCACCCCATCATCAACAACTTCGTCAGATACTACAACAAGCAGCGCGTCCTGGAGACGGCCGCCAAGCATGAGCTGGAGCTGATGGAGCTCAACTCCAGCAGCACCGGGGAGGGCAAGGCTGGGGGTTCCCGCAGTGACCTGGACAACCTCCCGCCAGAGCCTGCTGGGCAAGAGGCACCAAGCTGGAGCAGCCGACTGAAGCTCTCCCACAGTGACACCTTCATCCCCCTCCTGACCGAGGAGAAGCACCATAGGACCCGGCTCCAGAGTTGCAAGTGACAAGAGAGTGCCCTGGGCAGAAAAGGACAGGGTGGTGGATGGAAGGATGGTGAAGCAGGCATCTCAGCAATGGCAGAGAGGGGGTGTCCTGTGTCCCCCAACCCTCCCCGAACAGACTCTGACAAGGCTGGGTAAGACTCCTCTGTGTTGCCTGCTGTCCAGGAGCTGGGGCAGGGTGTACAGAGCCACAGGGCAGCGTGGGGCAAGTGGAGGCCCCGGCCTGGCTGGTGGCAGGGGCCATGCCCACTTCTGTATCTCCCTCAATAAAGCCTCCTGCTCTGTGCACCCTCCTGTGTTGTAGGTTCTGTCACAGGCTGGCTGTCGCCTCTGAGAGTGGCACAGGCACACCCTGGTGCCAGGCCAGGAGGTAGGTGTGCCACCCCGGGAGTAGGGAGCTATTTTTAGTTGAGAGCTAATTAAAGGAGGGCTCATAGCACTGAGGAGCCTTGCTACATTCCAGGAGGCTCTGTTCGGGCTACCCTTTCCTTCTATTTCCTTCTGGGGAAAGCTTGTTCCCTGAGCTTGCCCAGGAGGGGCTGAGTGCACAAAGCACCCTGGCAGTGGGGTCAGCTTTCAGTTATCACTTATAAAAGACCCTTTTCACGACTTCTTTCTATTCCCCTCCTCTGACTCGGCTGGATAGGTATCCCCATTTTACAGATAAATAAACTGAGGCCTAGGGTCACACAGAATAGGGCTTGATCCCAGATCTGATGATCCCAAAGCCTGGGTTTTGTTCCCTCTGACACCAGGGAGTCTTAGGACAGAGGCTTCTGCTTGGGTTCACCAGGGAAGGGTATGCAGACCAGGGGAAGTGCTGAGCTTCCTCTGTGTGGGGGTACCTGTCCTACAGCCCACCTTTCTTCTAGCCCTGCTATTTTTGAGGTATCTGCTAAAAGGATAAGCCCGAACATACCCCCACCCCCACCCCATGGCTCATTGCCAGCTCCATCTGAGAGCCCCAGGGAAACACAGACAGACCCGGGTTTGAAGCCCAGGCATGAAGAGGGGCTCTGAGACACCTGTGAGCTGGTGCTTCTCCCCCACCAGCTGTGTGATCCTCGGTCTATTAATTAATCTCTCTGATCTTTTTCTGATCATTTGTTAAATGGGGATATAAGTACCTTGGAGAATGCTGGTTCTTAGCTCTGTACCTGGCCCTTATTCTACTCCAGGAGGGAGGTGTGCTGCCTGTCATGCACTCTGGCCTCCTCAGGTCTGGCTGGGCACGCAGGTGGGGAGGCGTGCGGCAGGGCATTGTCACTCTGTTTTTAGAGACATAGAGTTTGCCCTGACAGGCCCATTTCTCTGGTTTTCCACCTTCTGTGAACCCCAGAGCTGTGTTCTTTCCTCCCCTGGTACAGCAACTGGTGCAGAGGGAGGGGCCGTGAGGGGGTAGGGCTGTATGAGGGAGTGGGAAGTGGTGGTCCCTGGACTGCCACCATACTGGACCCAGGTTTTTCCACATGTATATTGAAGGATGTCATCTTGGGGCCTCTTCTAGGCCTGACCTTCCACGATTTCCAAGCCTTGGGCTTTGGATGCTCCATGCTGGGGACTCCTGGAGGAGGGAGCCTGCCATGTTGTGGGAGGACTGGCGGGTGTTGGGAGAGAGTAAGGATCATCCTTGTGGGGTGCAGGGCTCAACTTTAGGGTTGCAAGCTATATGGGTGCATCCCAGGCAGAGAAGGACAGGGCAACCGGTGGACAGACAGGTGCAGCAGGCAGTCAGCCATGGCCCCTTCCGGAGCAGAGCCTTAAAGGGTTCCAGGCCCCCTCCAGAGTCGGTGCTGCCTGAGCCAGTGCTATGCCCCCTCTCTTCTGTGCAGTTGTCTATCTCCCTTGGCGCCAGAGTCACTGGGAAGCCCTGGGGGCTGTGCTGGCCTTCTCAGATGGGAAGAAGCTCAGGAGCACAGGGAGAGGCCAGGAGGCCACCTTCCTGACCCAGCTGGGGCTGCAGGAGAGGGCAGTCAGTGGAGAAGCACTCACAGCCACCCAGCCACCTCCGAGCTCATGTCATCCACTATGAGGAGGAAGAGACTGAGTCCCAGAGGTGGTAAGTGGTTTGTCTGAGATCTTCGTAAATTAGGATGAGACATGCTCCTGATCCCAGATTTGATCATAGTGTGATGCTACATCACAGGGAGTGACTGAGGACTTTGGGAGCCAGGAGGAATCCCTGAGGAATCCTTCTGGGGTGCAGGCCCTTGAACTTTGCTGCACATTAGAAATACCTGGGGAGATTTAAAAATTCCTAATGTCCAAGCTGTGCTCACTTAAATTAGAATCTCTGAGGGGTGACATCCAGGCATCAGCATTTTCTAACTTTATTAAAATGCATATAAGCCATCTGGAGATAGTGTTAGAATGTAGACTTTGGGTCACTAGATCTAGGTTGGCTCCTGAATTTCTGCATCTCCAACAAGCTCTCAGATGAAACACTGCTGGCCCACGGACCCCACCCTGGACAGCAAGAGGTCAGTGGGGAGTTGGCAAACTATGGCCCCTGGACCAAATCTGGCTTGCTACCTGTTTTTGCACTGTTCATGAGTTAAAAATGGTCTTTATATTTTTAAATGGTTGAAAGGAACATTCAAAGGAAGAATAACATTTTGTGACATATACAAAGTACATAAGGTTCAGACTTTAGTGTCCACGAATAAAGTCTTATTGGAACAGAGTCATGCCCATTTGTTGTGGGATTGTCGGGCTACTCTCAAGCTACAAGGACAGAGTTGAGTAATCGTGACACAGGTCACGTGGCCTAAATTATTTACTATCTGGCCTTCACAGGAAAGGTTTGTCACCTTTGGGTTGTAGAGAATCTAAGTTAGGCCTTGAAGGATGAGTAGGAGTTCCGCTGGGGGAGGAGGTGGAAGGAACAGCATGAGAATAACAGAGCCCCACACCAGAGAGGGGAAGAGAGGGTGAGGCCCACGCTTAACTGCAGGGATCCCCATGAAGAGACCTCCCTCCTGTCCCTGTCACAGTGTCCCAGGCTCACAACTCCCTTCTTTCCTTCTTACCAAGAACCCCCAACTTCTAGTTTCTACAGCGAGTTCTCTGCAACCCGAGGTCCTGCTTTGGCAGCTGGCTTCTTCCCCTCTTTTCCCAAATGCTTATCCGCAGTATTGTCAAATCTCCCCCACCCTGGAGCTCAGTGCCTCACACGCTCTTCTTCTGCTTGGGAGAACCTCACAAGCTTCTTGTTACCTGCTAATGACTAGCAGGAGAGAGAAAGATATGCTTGCTTCTTGGAGCTGCAGGATGGCCCAGCTGAAAGGGGATTCGGGCATCAAGTACAAACACCCCTCCCCCCACAGTTGCACAGCCCAGAACAATGTGGCTGAGTCATGCACAGCTGGGGAGGGGATTCTCTGAAGAGCACTCATGCCACAGCCAGAGTAAGGGGTCCACCTTGTTCTACTTGTGATAAAGTTGAGAGTACACAATGAAATGCATTTCAAAAATAGAGAATCTTGAGTGCAAGACTGTGCGCGCATGTGTGTATAAAAACAAAGCCCGGCTTCTAAAAGAAAGGACATGTGGTAGACATTTCACCAACATTTTCATTTTAGCCTTAAAATAACTCATTCGGTGAGCTAGTTATCCTTAGTTTTACAGATGAAGGAAACTGAGGCCCAGAGGGCAGAAGCAACAGGTTTGGGCTGTGGCCCTTGGTGGCAGAAGTGTTAGCCAAGCCCAGAGCCTCCAGCTGACACACTTACTGGGAATGTTCTAGGCTGCCATCAGAACTCAGGGCCTCCAGTCCCCACTCAAGGTCTGACCAGCCACAGTCATCTGATCTCTCTGGAAGGTGTCACCGTGTAACAGGCATTGGTTTGGGTGGTGATGTTTGCTAAGGAAAGAAAAAAAAGGCAAACCCAGTTACTTGGGTCAGATGCTCAAACCAGGTGGAGTTGTTTCCACCTTGGCAATTGTAGGAGGGGTCTGGAGGTACCACATGAGACCAGGCAACCAGGGGAAAAATCTGTGAAAATGTTAAGATCTGGAATTACTGTGCATAAATGTATAAATGTATAAATTTCATCATGGGGAGGCCAGTGAGATGCTAGCAATCGCCCAATATCTCCCTCCTGGGGAGATACTGGCTAGGGGCCAGGCCTAGAGGGGTCTTGCTTCTCTTTCCTCTGTGAAGGGGCTGCCAGCTCCTCCCACGTCCCCTGGACCAGCCTGTCCCCTTCCTCCCAGAGAGGATGATTAAGCCTCCTGAGTCTCCTGTCATCTCCCAGGGAGATGAGGGATGGGGGTGTTTCCAGAGACTCTGCCCACCCTGCACACCACACAGAGAACATGGTATCACAGACTTGAAAGGTTTCACCAACTTGCAGAACCGGGTAGATTTCCCCCCTGAGCACTTTTCTCCACTTGGAGCAGCCCAAGTCAGAGCTACGCGGAGGATGTAAGTTTCCAAAAGGAAAAGACAGAACAAGAATTGGGAGAGTCTACGCTTAGTCATTTTTTTGTTTTTGAGACTCACGACTAGCCAGCCAGGCCTGGTGCCATAATGCAAATTTTATTTCACTCTCCAAACAACTGGTCAGATAGGTATGATTGCTGTGGCTTCGGGTGACATCTGTGAGGTCCAGTGAGGCCCAGGCAATAGCCTGTGGTGACACAGCTAAAGAGAGGCCAGTGTGGGGCTGCAGCATGGGTCTGCCCCTTCCTTTGCCAGGGGGGCCTGGTGCCTCCTGCCCGCAGGGCCATGTCCCTCCCCAGGGAGAGAGGCATGGCAGCCACCACCACTGATCCTTTACTCCAGCTTAATCTGGGGCCAGGGGCTGATTGTAGGTGAAGGAAAGGCCAGCCTGGGCGGCCACCTGTGGCAGCCACACGTCTTCTGTCCAAATGCAAAATATTGTGCCTGTTGTCAAGGGCTTGGCTGTGGAAATGGGGTCTGTGCTTGTGATAGTGACAGCCCAGACCCGAGAGGAGGTGTAAATATTAATATATACAGGCCAGGCTTCTGCTGGCGCATATGTTGGCTAAGCTGCCAAGATTGTCACTCGAAGCCAGGGGCTGTGTTTGCCGTGTTCTAGTTTCCTTGCTCCTTGCTGGATTTAGCCGGGTGAGTCTGACCCGGCCTTGGAGTGCAGACCCCAGGGGAGGCCCCAGTGGAGACCCTTCCCAGACAAGTACCAGCTGCTGCCAACACCTTGCTCCTGAGTGGGTGTGCGAGGCACGAGCCGGGCCCCTCCCTCTCCTCCCTTGCAGTGTCTCCAGCCGCGTGGCCCAGTGCAGGTTGCTGGGCTGTGCCATTCCAAGTCCC